AACACAGGTAACAGAGGCGGAAATCCAAAAATCCAAAATCCAACATGAAAAATATAAAGCAAACCAGAACTACGGAGACATCTGGGGAAACAAAACACGAGGAGCCAGGGAGAGACGAGGTAGGTGGACAACAGCATGGGAGGACAGCAAAGACAAGGGACCAAACAAAGAGTGAGAGCAGAGGGAGAGCAGATATAGCAGACAGAGACAAAGGGGGGGCTAACGAGCAGACAAGGAGCAGGTGTGAGAGGAGACAACGAGGGAGCCAAGGGGAAAGGAACACACACAAGAGGGAAACAGAGGACAACAGAAAAACATGAGAACTAACATAAATCTAGAAATTGCAACAATGTGTGTGTATCCCTTCTGTCATCTACAAAAAACAATTTCATTACTTACTTTTTGGTGTATTTTGAAGCGTATGGTGAACTGACCTTAAGTGGGATAAGGGATACACGCCCGCTGACGTAGTTTAAAGTCTATTTTTCACATAAAACTAAAGTGATAAATGCAAATCTTATGTTTTGCGCATGAGTATTGACTATAGGTATGCTGGTCTTACAGAACAGAAGATGGCAGGAGGGAGGTGTTACTATATTTGGGCAAAAATGGCCGCTCCCAAACTCGGTGATCGCAGCGAAAATTATTGTTTTTTATTTTTTTTACTGATAATTAATTAAATCACTGTGAACGTATTAGTTTTCGGTATAAATAATGACCCATTGGTTGTTCCTTGATGACCGAACTTTTCCTTTAATGCAAAGGCTAAAAGTAATGGATTTTGTGAAATACTGAGAAGTTAGACACATGCATCTGTTTCACTGAGGAGACGGATTTTTCAGGAATGTTGGGCGTAGACAGGAAGCCATGTTAATAACAGAAAAAAACAAATCCAATCCTCTGTTTAATATTAAATTTCCGCCTTACCTGCAGGTACATGTCCGCCAGCTCGTCCTCTTGGATGAGGTAATAGATGCGTCCCACCTGCAGCCACGTCTCAGACTCTTCCTCTCTCTTTCCCAAGTCAATAGAAATCCTCAGGCTCTGCTTGGTGTAGTCAAGAGACTTACGAGATGATCTGCAGCATTCAGGATAAAGCATCAAACAAAACTGGGAAGAAAAACAGAAGCCACCTGGAAGGCAAGGAAACTAAAATAATTACTTCTCTGTGTTGAGTGAGAGGTAGAGACTGCTGAGTTTTTCCAGATACTCTCCCTCCCGTCTCTTGTCCTTTAGCTCTCTGGAAACTGAGACGCAGTGTTCGTAGTAAACGATGCTCTGACCGTAGAGCAGCATGTCAGCATAGAGCAGACTCAGAAGCTTGGCTACAACCATCTGACCTACAATTAAAAGGAGAATGTGGAAAAATAAGGAAACTGATAAAGCTGGATAAAGAAGTTTTTAACAGTAAATATATTTCAACCTGTAAGAAGAAAAGAAAAGCCCAACAGATGTAGGTAAAGAGCAAAGCTACCTAAACATAGAGTGTGGGGGAGAGTTGGCCTAGAGGTCTCTGAGAAGGTTGCAAGTACCCGGTTTGATCCCCACAGCCTCTACTCTGAGTTCCTGAGCAAAGACCCTTAACTAAGGCTGCAACTAACG